CTCTGAGAAGAAAATAAATAAATGTATTACAACCCAACATATTAATAATATTTTATGCCATTGTTTGTGTCTGACATCTTGCTGCGAGAAGAGTAAAGAGGAGAGTCTGTGTGACTTACTTTAAATTGTGGGTAAGGGTAGATAGCTCCCATTGTTCTGTGACCTGTCAATCATCAAACCGGGGGTCATATTTCATTATGTGTTCATTTTTATCTGAAGTTGTACCCATGGATGTATAAAGAATAGTTCTACCGCAAAGTTATTCTCCGTGGGGACTTCCAGCAACAATCTTGATTCTGATTGGCCAAAAGACTCGAAAAAAACATCAGCAAAGATATTTTATTGAGAAGATGATCACTACGTGGCAGAAGTTTTCAAAACCGTTTATGGTCTCCGTTACTTCCAGTCCAACGCCGACTGCATGCACAGCGTTAGAAAATCGGGCCTTCAAAATAAAAGTTTGACTTTTCCCCCACTTTTTTTTTTGTTCTTCACTCACACATCCGCGACCCACTCGAAACGGGTCCGCGACCCACTTTTGGGTCGCGACCCACCAGTTGAGAACCACTGCTGTATACGATACAGTATTTATTATCATTATAGTATTACTATTTCGGCGATTAGATAAAATATAAATTATATTTGATGCAACTTTAGTTAAATTTCCATGACTTTTTTTTCCAAAACTTTGGGAAAAATATTGTTTTCCATAACTTTTCCAGGGCCTGGAATTAGCATTTTGAATTTCCATGACTTTTCCAGGTTTTTAATGACCGTAAGAACCCTGCATTCTGCATTATTCTGGGTCCAACATCTATAAATCAAACACTACTACTCCTCAGTTAGGGAGGTAAGAATTGCCAATGTCAACTTTACAAAGTGAAAAAGCTATGCAACCAGGTTTACAGAAAGCAGAAACCAAAATAAACCACAACCTAAAAGTCTTATGTAATAATGCATTCAAACCGCATATAGGCCACTTAAACATTTCTAACAAGCAATAGTTGCATGATCCCTAAAAACACACTCTATACTAATATTTGACTTTGAGATGATCTACTTTAATCTCTTGATTATATACCGTCTTATTAATTGTATTCTATGTCATATTCATGATATCACAAATTCCCAAGTCCAAAGCAACGTCTTTGAACTGCTCATTTAGTCTTATTCAAAATGCCAAACTTTAGCATAATACATTTGCAAAGAAAGACGTAGAAGAAGCAGATCGTCACAACTGAGGAGCAGGGAGACTTGCAGTTAAACATGTACTGTATGTGACTGAGACAAAAGCATGACATGTGGAGCAGGTGCACGTGTGTGCTTAAATGTTCCGAGTCTCTTAAGCTCAGTGTCTGCGTTGTCCTATTGTTAAGACCCCAGAGTGGGCCAAGGAATTTCATTTATCAAGACATGGATAGGGTTCCAAGAAGAGCCCTCTTCAGAAACACGTCCTATAAATAACTCAATGACACATTGTCAGGGAGGAGAGATAGTGGAGGAAAAGAAACCATGTTAGCAAAGACATGGCAGACATACAGTAGAAGGGGGAGGAATACATCAAAAGTGACTACCATGACAGAAGTGACAGAGGGGCAGAATGTCAGGCTTCCCATGCTCGTCTGTCCACACACAAAGCGTCTACAAATACGCTTGTCTTTGAACACACCGCGGTCAAGGTTCACTGGCAGGTCAGCGGTGGGACCGGGTGTACCGAACATGGAAAATATAACACACGCGCACACACACACACACACACACACACACAAAGACACTTGTGGACAGCTGTCAATTGGCAGCTAAGCAGGTCTGAGGTGAAACAATGGGGCTGAAGAGAAGAGCAAAGGGTTTTATCGGGGTTAAAACGAGGTTAAGTTCTCGGGATGGCATGTGAAATGGCCCATCGCAGCGAGACATGCCAGGAATCTTATGTGTGTTTATAATACGCAAACATCCTCTAGCACCAATTCTTTTTACAGTTACTGCCGACATTGTGAGACACTGAGGAATTCTCTAGCTCTGCGCACGAGACACTGAAGGCTTCGCTCGTAGAAAGAGGAGGAAATAATGTAAGCAGTGAGGTGAGCAAATGGGTCATTCGGATCAGAGTGAAGAATAGGACTGCAGCTAACAATTAATCCGCTGATTATGGATTTGTTCTCGCCCCGTACAATGTTTCTACATTATATTACATTTTCTTGTTTACCAATTTTCAAAGTAAGACAACAAAATAGTACAACTTGCCAATGAAATGTGTTTCTCCATTAAAGCCTCTTAAATTGCCAGGGCAGCACACTGTATAATACAGCATGTTACCATGTAATGCTCTTTTGCTGCCCCCTGCCTTTCCCTACACAAATACATAATACATATTTGACAGATTGTTTTGCTATTACTTTACAGATCACTACAGATTACTACAGTAGACTTTTTGAAAGGAGAGTGAAATGAAGACAAGTGGATTTCTAAAATAGCATATATTGGTCGTTTTCATTGTAACATCATCAAATCGTAGTAGTAGTAGTAGTAGTAGGCCTCTTCTTAAATGTGAGCTGAGACACAGTCCTTTCGTTGCCCTTGCTTGCAGTGGCATGATGGGAGTGTCTGCAACAGTACTGTATTTTATTTGATGCCAACATTATCTTTTTGGGAGAGTTCCCCCTCATGTAACCCTTACTATAAAACTCTCCCAAACAATACTCAACTCCTAATATAAAAGGGACATGTTGTGCAACAGTACAGTGACGTATAGTGGACATCCATACTGCATAAAGACCGGATTTTAAAGGTGAAGACAATCACTGCCCTGGAAACATGCTAGGAATTACAAAGAAATTGTTTCATAAAAATAAATCTAAGTTGTTGACCTGAGGTCTTAATCTCCCCAAAGACCATTCTCTCTTCCTCTGCTAATCCGACTATTCCTCTCCCCCCTCCCCCCCATCTTCAGACTACAAACCCACACACGCACTTTAAGGTTTTTTGTGTTGCAAGCTTTTGTAACACATTTTTCACATTGCTTTTATTATGGCATATGTAAATGTTTGTCATTTCTAATTGAACTCACTAGCTTGTTATGAGAATAAGTGATTAGGGAACTATATAGTCAACATTCTAATATCAATACAAACATTTGGAAGTTGATATAGTTTTTGGAGCTTACACAAAAACTGAATGTCCTGAAGATAAAGTTTGCGACCATTTGATTTCTCACACACGCACATACAGCCTAGAGAAAGCAGGATGGGAATTAGAAAGCTCCTCTGCTCCTCTTCAGATGGTTGAAGGAGGAGAGTAATAACGCAAACTGACAAACAAGATGGCCGCCGAGTGCTTTTCCTGATGAGAGCCGAAATTGAGTAGATGCAGGTCCCGGTTAAGCTCGGCTGCGTTTTACCAGGGGAAGGTTTAAGGGGACACGCCGAGCCGATATCCACTGATTGAATGCAGTAACATCAACCTCCCCCCCCCTTATTATAACACAGTTTCTCCTTGAGAACTAAATCTACTTATGATTGTTTTTTACATTTCTTTCCTTATCATTTTCTTTAATTCAAAAAGACAATCTGGACGTGGTAATCCATCATGGATTTAACATTTCCCCATACGCTCCGCTGCCCCTCCTACAGCCACATAATCGTGATGATTTAGGACTTGGGACCTGACTCAAGGGGGATAGACTGCAGATGGAAAAGAAAGGATAAAAGAGGGGATGGATACAAACATATGAGAGGACAGCAGAAAAGGGAAAAGAGATATGGAGGAGAGGAAGGGGGGTCGGGTTCAAAGAAGTCTCTTATTAATGAAGACAAGGTTGTAATATTCATAAATGGTGGCCAAGCTGTGTACCCAGCAGTGCATTCTCCCCCCACTTCTCTTTTGCCTTGATAGTATTAGAAAAATGAAAACTTTAGATTAGAAAGATTGGAAAAATTGAATTAGGGCGGTCACGCGGGGGCCGAGTGGATGAGCGGGAGCCAAATCTTCATCTCAGACTGAGTGGGAGGGGAGGGGGGGGAAAAATGATGAAAAATGAAATATCTGGAGGGGGAGCTGAATGGACGGTGGGTGGGAGGGAGGGAGGGGAGATAAGAAGTTGGGGTCATCACCTGTGTGCTGTGGCCTGCTTTCCTTTCAATCCTAAATCCAACAATCAGTTTGAGCTCCTGCCACACTGTACGACACGCAGAGAGACCGTGGGCCTTTTATCTGCGTCACCATTTCATAAGATAGAGCAGGCACTTAACAGTCTATTCATCTAACGATACATAAACACATCTATCCACTGATGCTGCTGACACACTCAGCTTAGTGACAGAAGAATAAGAGCAACCATTTCAACGCTGTTTAATCATTTCAACAATGCCTCAATGAAAGCATTGCTTTAAAACTGCATTCATTGTCTATCAAATATAATTAGGAGCTGCTTTAATTGTAATATCAACTTTAAACTATAACCGTTACATGTTAGGTTTTTCTGATTGGTCACATGAAAACAGATTACAAAAGGGTTTGGCCCTTAAACTCCATTCAATCGTACAAAGAGTACATATTAAAGTGTCGTCGACCAATCCATAGTTGTAAGATTAACTTTTCAGCCCCTCAAATATGGACATGTCTTGCTTTAATATGTTTAACATCAAATCAGAAATAACTGAAATGAATAGAGAGGGCTCAAGTGTCCCCCCCATCTTTGACCAAAACTCTACTCTGAAGAGAAAAACCTTCGAAGAGATTCGATGAAAGAACACTTCATATTTTGCAAGTGAAAGGCATGAAGACTTCTATTCAAAGTGATTTGTCTTAACAATTTCATTTCAATGACAAAGATGAGAAGGAAGCGACCTCTTATCCCTGACCTCACATGTCCTACTGCTCCAAAACAGCTCTGTTTGTAGAGCAGCAGCGCCCTCTGGAGGCAGACGTGAGTGATGCACGAGGGGCTCAAACATTAGATACAAGTACATTCAGGAAATGTACGCTCAGTTATAAAATGCTCAATATCAATCAACTATATTTTGCTACAACAATAGTTTGAACCGACAGTCCGAACAGCAGAAATATTGCACTATATTATTTGTGGTTTAGTTATTCCTACACTGCATTTTAGTTTTTGAGTTATGCCTTTACATTTAGATGTATCATTTTTGAAAAGCTAAATCTCCTTTTGCTGTTTTGAACAAAAACTCAAAACCTTTTCCTCATCAAAACCTATGAGGCTGCTTACCATATAGGAAACCTCCACCTCTTCAAACACATGATTCCCATAATGTTTCTGAAATGCACAGCTTTTTATTTCTCCTTGCAGTTTCTGTAAGCGTCCACCAGATGGCTTCAGAGTCTAATACTTATTTGACAGACTATAGAAGCTCAGTTGCAGTGATCTCTGAAGTACTTCAATATGTCATTATGTTACTTAATTACCACCTTCTGACGTAATTACTATTTCAACTATGGAGAATTAAGATAAACTATTGATTCCGGTTGTTCCTGTGAGATGACACTCTACAGCATTATCAGTCGTTCTAACAGATCTCACTATTTATCATCATCGGTTTGCAAGGTCCATTATTTTTTTAGTTTAAAAAAAAATGTCCTGAAAGCAATTTCTGTTCATTGTAATCACATTACCACCCTGCTGTTCCATGTGCTGATGGAGAGCAAGAGAGAGGATTACATGTGTGAGCCACCAGGGGCCCTCAGTGATCCGCAGTAAACAGCTCAGTCCTGTTATTCCAAATCAGCTGGGAGCAGATGCAAAACAAAAATAATGCCATTCCTGTTTTTGTCACGTAATCCCAGCTGCTATGTTCAGTCGCAGGTTGGGAAGCCGCAGCCGCCATTTCCAGCGGACCATTGAGAGGCTCATTACTGCCTTTTGTTCAGGGACAGGAAATAATGAAAAATAGATTCGAATTAAGCATGACAGCTATACTATCTGTGTACTATTAGCTGTGTTGCTTTTCCACATAAGTACACTGGTTTTTCATTCATTATTTCATTCATACCAAACGAATAAAGTGTAACCATCGATGGACATTAAAGGAGCAGGATGATGGGAAAGTGACAGATCGGCTGCTCTGACTAACATTGTGGCCGTCAGCAGTGTGAGTGGTGTGTGTCCCATCGGAGCGGCGATACTGAGACTGCGCTGGGGAAAGATGATGTAATCGCCTGAACGAAGCCTCGAGAGGCCACGCGAGTAGTGTCGCTTCGGGATAAAGGAACACACTTCTTTGCATGGATTTGAACCAGCAACCGACACGGTCTACTCTCAGATGTTTCCTGCTGGCTTCCCGTTTGATTTGTCACCGTTTTTCCTTTGTGATGAGAGGTTAAATGTGTCCTCCCTCTGCGGGGCGTGGACATGTAAACCCCGGATTAATGGGTCATTAGAAATGTACAATTTTGTATCCTGCAAAATGAATTTTGATTTCAGGTTTCCCCGCCTCCCTGCATGTGGACAGACTGAGAGGGAGACTGAGGGGAATGACAAGAGATCTGTAGAACCACAAAAAAACAAAATACAACCATTCCAGACACAGATATCCAATGCACCGTTTATATTCTATCAAAAATAGTGAAAGACTTTCTGTCTGAGTAATGTTATCAGCTGGAATCTTTCAGTTTGATACATTTTCATTTGTTTTTCCTCTTTACCTTATTAAGGAAATGTCCCATCAAACATTTATTTTGTATGCTTATGTAAGGCCTCGTTCTCAAGTTTGATTATGTTTTAATGGACATACGGGGACATTAATGTGCGATGGCATCAGACTTAATATTACAATCTTTGTTAATCTTCTATTACCAAAAGCTACAAGTATTCTCCGGTACCACAACGAGTGTGAGTTCTATTAAAATATTATTAATGAACAAAACACGTCATTGAAAATGTTCAGTAAAGGATGATGTAATGTATTGTTTGTGTCTTTTATGTGGATGTGATAACTGGATGATGAATGGCTGTACTTTAGCACACAGGCACCACAATGGACCGCTCATAAATCCAGAGGGGGGTCCTGAGTTCAGATGCTGTTAACACTCATTAATAGCATCACACTAGGCTGCTAAACTCAACTCATGCTGTCTTCAGTATAGTGGCCATTATATTAGCAGTTGCTCAATTCATTGATTAGTCAGCGGAAAGGAAGGTAATTGGGAATAAATGAATTGTTAGACATTTTTCAAGCAAAAATCACAACATTTCTCTGGGTTTATTTCCTCAAAAAGGAGAATTAAAACATTTTGTTAATGTAATGATGAACTAAACCTAAAAAACTCAACTTCAATCACACCAGAGTGTACCAACACTTTTTACCTCCAGAAAGAGTTAAGGACGTAGATTAGGCGCAATGACGTTAGAGGGTGTCTGGGGGGGGGGAGAGGAAGGAGAGTGTGAGAGATTTTTCTGATGAGGGCCTGCTCCTTTGCACTCCTTATGTTTCACGACCAACCACACAACGACACACCACACACCGACCCACACACACAGACACACACCACACACACACACACAGACACCACACACACACCAAACACAACACAACACACACACACAACACCACACCACAACACACACACCACCCGCGTCATCACGGTTACCTTCTTGTCTAGAACAGAAATTTTTCGTTCAAAAGTAAAGTGGCAATTTCCCCGTCACCGTGTCGACTCTCTATTAGACCAATATGACTTTCAACCAACTAAACACTAAGTATGATAGAGTGACACAACTACTTATGCAAACCAGAGTTTCCTTTCCTCTGGAAAGACAGAAGAAAGATAAGTAGTTNATTCTTCATCAGACAACAACCGCAGTTTCCCACGTCATTAGGCACTCAGTAATACCAAAGTAGGGTCATGTGACTCTTGACCTTGACCCCACATAAACATCAGCTTGATGAACCAACCGTGTCCGTAACCACATTGTATTATTTCATGTGCCAATTACACTAATGAGGCTAGTGATTAAGATAATTCATGCTTTAACGATTTGGTTATGAAGCAGGAGTTGGAACAGGTGGGAGAATTCGCCTCTTGCCCTCCTTTTTCAAAGAGTTGAACTCCCGTTTTCATGATGGAGGAGAAGTGTTTGGCTCCCACTCAAAAGGCTTCTCCCGAGAGGAAGAGAATGTGAGTGTGTGGGCTGCGGTAAGCAGACATCCAGCTCTCTGAATACGCTGAGGGGCAGAGGATGGCAAACACTTTAGGAGAGGATGATACGATTGCTTACTGTAAAGTGTTATTGTGATGTGTCAAAGACCAATTGGCCAATAGATCACAAAGAGAGAGCCTTTCACTGGGACAAGCTGTCTGAGGAGCTCTGATCTCAAAATGAACACATGTAACTTCTCCAAATGCACTGTTCCACTCGACAGCACCAACAGCATCACCCCCTTTCCCTTTTCTACCAAATGAACGTTACTTAAACACGTGGTAGAAGCTGTGAAACCGTACGATCGATGGCCAAACACTTTGAGAAGCTCACTTGAACTCTTAGTCTTTGTGATGCTTGTGAGGGAAGTCACCAACCTCCGCACTATGGGAGATCGAGCTTTCTGTGCAGCTGCCCCCCGGCTGTGGAACTCACTCCCAGACCATCTCAGAGCTCCTCAACCTGTGAACACTTTTAAGAGAGCACTAAAAACCTACCATTTCAACAAAGCATTTGGTTAGCTTTTTAAGCCGGTTTTAATAACCCTGCCTCTCCTTTTTAAAACGTGTTTTTAAACTTGTTTTTTAACCTGTTTATACATTTTGACTCTTGCAAACGGTTTTCTTTATCTTTTTTTATTATGTACTGTAGCACTTTGAGGTTTGTTTCAAATGTAAAGTGCAATACAAATAAAATGTATTATTATTATTAAGTCATTAAAATACTAAATTCTCAGGAGAAAGTAATTGATCAAATGAAAAGGCAGCAGGAAAAAGGAAAAGTCTTCAACCAGGATTTCAAAGGGAGTTTATTCCCGGTATCTGGAGCATTAAAACTGAACACTTGCTTGTAGAAGATGAAGATCAGAAAGGCATGGTATTCCCTTTTTTGGGAAGCTGTGAGGCATCCAACATGTTGTGTTGTTTGTCTCTAAGAAGAGTCTTCATGAGGCTCTGGGATGTAGTTCAAAGTTTGATTCAGACAAACATCAAGCTGCATTTTGCAAAAAGCAAAACATGGTGAAGACTTTTGCAGAAAGGCTTTATTGATCTAATAATAAAGGATTGGAAGTTCAAGAAGGTTTTGAATGCAGTTTTAATTCTCCAAATATCTGAAATAAACTCCCAGAAAACTGAGACTCTCCCTTCTTTCAAATCCTGGCATTTCTTTTAGCTGCTGTCTTTAAAGTTAATCCAATAACTTCCTCCCAGTTCAGAAAAGGGTCTGTGAGCGTTAGTCCCCCTGAGCAGGTGTTTGGTTGTCTGTGTGAATGCTGACTTGTTCGTGTGTAGAAGCAAAGATATGATGTCAAAGTGCTGTCCAAAACCATCTGCGAGCAGCTCAAAGTGTTAAGCACATCTGGAGCTGAAGGTTAATTCAATGCTTTTATTCCACGTCCTTAAAATAGGTCGAAGATGGGAGGCGACTAAGAATTCTGGACGGTTAGGAACGTTTTCAAATGCTAAGATATTTGTTTTTGGTGACATCTAGAAGATTTCTGACGTCCTCCTGGATCCTTTTTTTAAATGTAAGTTGTCATTTTTGTGATCTTTTTTTAAACCACACATAGGACATATATTGTCTTCCATCCTCTACTTTTCCCATTCATTGGGGGGTTTCCTGGTTCCTGCGAGGGTCTTAGGACAGAGGGTACACTGTAAGTTAAAGTCTGACTGAATTTGAAGTATTTTTTGTAAATAGAGCACGTTAACATCCGTCAGATCTTCTTGATACAACTATTTACTGATAAGAATAACACATGGTATTTATATAGCGCTTTACGGGGGGCTCAATAACGCTTAATGCACATTAACACGCACACAATGTGATTAAATGTATTTTAGAGGGAAAACATGATAGAACAAAGTCAGTGTGGGCGGAGAGCTGTAAAACCAGCGGGGGGTCTCGTGCTGCAATTTCAAAATGGGACGCTTTGCTGAAAAATGCTATTTGTGGTGAGCTGTAATCTGCTGCAGATCGACTGTGTGTGTGTGTGTGTGTGTGTGTGTGTGTGTGTGTGTGTGTGTGTGTGTGTGTGTGTGTGTGTGTGTGTGAGAATAAAAACACACAGTTCCACCTCCCTCAGTGTGTGATAACAGAAGAACAGTGCTGCACTCTGAGTCATTCTGACACACACACTCACACACTCCGCTGTTATGCCCTTGGCCTCGTCCTTCACTGGCACACACAGACATATTTGAACACACACACACACACACACACACACACACACACACACACACACACACACACACACACACACACACACACACACACACACACACACACACACACACACACACACACACACACACACTGACCTTCACATCAGACAGCAGGAGGACCAACAGGGATGAAGCCTGTGTCACAAGGCTACTGATAGTAAAAGAGGCTTGTCACATCACACTGAATGTCTGTTTGTGCAAGAACCGTTTTCTGCTCAGAGCCTTCTTTGAGCGTTTCACCGAAAACAGAAAAACTCCCATTGCTTTTATCTTTTGGTCTATGATATCTTGACTAAGGAAGCACGATATCAGTAAATCCATCAGCTTTACCCTTCAGCCAATAGTGTGACACTTACATAGGCATCTGGAGCAAAAGGGCTTCATCTAATTGGCCTGGCACATGAAGAAGACTAACATTTATCTAATGTTGATATAACTCAGGTCAGAAGAATATCATTGCCATTTCTACACTGTAGCGTATGTGCATATAACAATAAAACTTTTGAATTTGAATCGAATAACGATAGATTTTAGATTTATCGTGCAGCCCTAATCTTGACATCGCATTGCTTGCTCTCACTCTGTTACAATGAGCTGCTCAGTCGTAAAGCCGTAGAGTGAGGAGGACGATACGGAGCTATACTGTAAGTACAACACTGTCTGGAACAGTCTCCAAAGGCCGATGCTTAATTTGCGGTCTGGATAGTTTCCATGTGAAAGACTTCCTACTGGGACATCACCACTGCTTTTCTGACTGCTTGAAATACCTTTAACCAGAAGTTCTCAGAACGGCCGTAAAACAATGGCAGAGCGCTCAGGAAATGGAGCAATGTGGACTCAGGTCAAGTCGGAAAACTATTAAACATGGCCCAGTGCCGAGTATGGCAAAATGGACTATGAGTACTGGATGGTGAAACAGTTTGAAGTGCTCAAAATCAACGACCGCCATCTTGGCTGCTTAACTTACAGAAGTTGAGTGAACAGCTTAAATTGCTCTGGTGTTTAACATGTTATCCACCTTTTTCAGTATCTTATGAACATTCCACTATACTGGTGTTAAAAATGAGCCACTTTTAAATATGAAATATGTTGTGTTACTTTGGCAGTCCGTAAAGACTAGCTAACACCGCCTCTCCCGATGAGACACTCTAAGGAAAGTGAATAGAGACACAGAACAAGTCAAAAGTTAACAGAAGTAATTTTCCCACAAATCAGTGCAGCTCAGAGGATCTGACACCTCAAAGAGAAAAGAGATTCATGCATGAAGAATTTTCCCGTTGATTGACACTTTTGAAAAGCTCTACCCTTCTTTTTGTCTTTCCACAAGGTTAAACAATTCCCTGCTCATCCTCTTCTGAGCTGCTCACTGTGTAACAGAACAGCAGGTCCACACTGTGTAAGACTCGCTGAGGATATTCTGATCACTTTACTAAGCACAACGTACCGCTGTGGTGCACGCTCAGCATTTCTAATGAACCAAATGAAGCTGATACATTCACCCAGATTAGTTTTACATGATAGAGTCATGAAGAGG